ATTATTGATCAAGAAACTGTATTCAACAAATTCAAAAAAATATTTATCACTTCTCTAATTTTAATTTACGAAGAAGTTCTATCTTTATATTAACATTTCTAACTTTGGATTAAAAGTTGTACTCTTACAGAAAAATGAAAAAAATTGAGAATGAGTAATTGCTTATTCAAGTATTTCTCTTAAACCTGCTGAAATCTAATATAGTATAACTGAGAAAGAAGTTTTAACAGTAGTTTGGACTGTCTAATAATTCAAATATTACTTGCTTAAAATAATTTTTAAAATAATAACTGATTATAATGCATTACGATAACTCTTCACTAAACAAACAAACTCAATATCAAGAATTTTCTGATGAATTACAATGAAGATGAAATATAACTTCATAATTAGCTATTAATCTGGATGAGTAAATCAAAATGCTAATGCTCTATCTCAAATTAACTCTGCTAATTATTAAAAATATTTAATTAATTAACTACAAAAATGAATTTAACAACTTACTATAATCTATTTCAATTTTTAGATAACAAAACTTATAACTTAACACTTACTAAACAACAAAAGAAATATTTTTAACAATAATCTAAACATTTTGTTATACAAATGGCTTACTTTATAAAATTAACTAATGAAAAGATGCTAACAATCTACTTTAAGTACTAAAAGAAACAGAAATAGAAGTAGTAATAAAAGAAATACATAAAGATCTATTATCTGGACACTTTAGATATAATAAAACTTATTAACAAATAGTTATATAATATTAGTAAAATAGAATGAGAATTAATATAAAAGATTTTGCTCAACATATCAGTTTACTAGAAGTTGACAATTCAAAGAATTCTTATATCCCATTAAAGTTGGACAACTATTTGATTATATTGTAATTAATCTAATTGAATCATGTAAATAAACTCAACAAGGAAATTAATATATTGTTACAGCAATAGATTACTTAACGAAATGGCCTGAAGCAAAAGCAATACCTAACAAAAAAGCTATTATAATTGCGAAATTTATCTTTGAAGAAATTATCTGTTAATATAGATATTTAAAAATATTACAATTAATCAAGAAACAGAATTTATAGCACAAATAATAGAAGAACTTACTGATAAATTTAGAATATAACACAAATATTCATCGTCATATCACTCACAAATGAATGGAATTATAAAACAATTCAATAGAACTTTATTAACAATATTACAAAAACTTATTATTAGTTTAGAAGAAGAATAAAATAATTATATTTTTGCAGTATTATTTGCTTATAGAATATTACAAAATAATACTACAAGATATGAATTATTTTTCCTAACATATGGAAGAGAAGCAAAATTACCAATAGAATTACAGTTTGAAACAATACTTAAAAAAGAAGTTATCATCAAAAAATAACTATTAGAAAAAAATATTTACACTTATAAATTATTTACCTGAACAAATTAATAATATTAAATGAAATATAAATTTGTTACAAGAAAAGTTTAAAGAAAGATATAATAGAAAAATACGAAAGATAGAGCAGTTTGAAATTGGAGACAAAGTTTTAATTTATAATATGAAATGACATATTGAATATAAAAAAAAATTCAAGTCACAATAAAAAGAAGAATGATATTATATTCATGAGATCTATTAGAATAAAGTATATAAATTGTGAAACTAACAAGAATAATTACTCAAGAAAACATTTAATGGTGTATAACTAAAATTATATCACGAGAGACAAACTTTATTTGAACTCAAAGTAGTAATAGAATACATTAATTCTTTACAAATTCTTTTTAAATAGAATTTTTTTAAATTGTATTATAACACATTTAACTATTATAAATAAGTCATTTATTTTTTCTCAAAGTTTTCAATAATTTGTTATATTATTTTAAATTTAACTTTTTAAGTTCCCTTTAAAAAATTTTATTTATTAATCATTTACTTTTTTAGATTAATACATATATATTATATTTCACATATCAGATTGAATTGATAATGCTATGTGATCTTTACTTATTTAACTTACAATTCATTTACTTATCAATCAACAAGGAAGTATCTTTATCTCAGAAACGGGTATAATTCTACATAATAATCTCAAGCAAACTCATTTAATTTCTTTGATAGAATTAATCTCAAACTTAATTAAAGATTATAATCTTTTGGTAAATTCATTAGCTGTGAGTTTAGATATTTTACCTAAAGTTAATTTATTACAAACTATAGAAGAAACTGGATTTAGTTTCATTTTAGATATAAATTCAATGACAAGTTTAATTCATCAAGAAGAAGATATCATAAGTTCTCCAGCCAAAAATGAATGGCCAGTATAACTAAAAGAACAACTTGAAAAGACTTTAAAAAGATAAATAAGTAATAATAAAATATTGAAGCAATATTTTAAAGTTGAATAATTATTTAGTCAACATTCCAACACAATATCAAAGATAATTACTAGTGATTAAAAGGAAGATTAATAGAGAACTTAGACTTTAATCTTATGATTATCACTATATAATTGTGAGAAGAACTTATCAAATATTTTCTTCCAAAGAAGAAATAGACCAAAAGAATTTTGATTTAGAATTAATGCCAATAAAGATATATCGAATAAGAAATTGAGAAATCAAAAACTTTACCCAATAATTTCACAGGAGCTCAATCTTTTTAAAGAGGATGCAAATATTATAATTATGTTATAAAATTTGTTAATTTCATAAATTGTAATATTTCATGAAATTATAAAAATCATGTAAAGAACTTAGAATATTTCATAATTTCTTTATATATTATTAATATTAGAATTCATATACTTTTATTTTTCTACTTCACATTCCTATACTTTTTATACTTTTTCTACCTTATACTCCTATATTTTTATACTTTTTATACTTTTTTTACTTCATACTCTTATACTTTTATACTTTTATATCATTTCTATCTTATACTTTTATACTTTTTATACTTTTTATACTTTTTATACTTTTATATATTTATATATTTTATATTTTTTATATTTTTATACTTATTTATTCTGAGTAGATATAATTTAACCAATCAAAATTCTTGAAGATTTATACTTTTTCTCCTTTATTTCTCTACTTTCTATATTTAGTAAATTGGAATTCTATTTTTAGTTAGTATAATTTCTTTTATATCTTTTTCTTGTTTTCAATATTATATTTGTATTTTGAAGAAAATGTATAAATATAAGTTGTAGTTGAGCTCTAACTCAACATATCAGAACTTGAGAATAAATAATATAATAAAACAAATACTTTTTTAACACTTAAACAATTCACATTTCTCTCTCAAAAGTATACTTCAAATCTTGCGAACAAGTAGCTTTGAGATTATATTGAGCTAATCAAAATAAATTATTAAATTAATATTTTGTTATAGACTAATCTTTTAATATTTTTGTTATAATTGAATTATTTGGAATTTCTCAACTAAAGACATTGTAATCTCTTTCTTGTGAGAAGAATGAAGTGAAAGAATCTTTGTTATTTTGTTATTTTTAATATTTTAATTAGTTAGTTAAATTATTAGTCACTTCAATTAAATAATTCATAAATTAATTAGTTAGTATGATTATTCAGAACACTATAAATAATTGAAATACTATTATCTTATCCTTTTTCTCTTTCAAACTATAACAATTTCAGTAGAAATTGATATAGAACTTAGATATTATTTTCATATTCTCCTTATATTTGTTTAATTATCTCTTTTAACTCTTGTTCATGTTTATTAGCTAATTATTCAATTAGTAAAAAACATGAAACAATATATTAAATATTTAATTTAGTAATATATTTTAATAAAATAAATTTAAATTACAAGATTCAAAATAAATTTTTTATGAGTTTGAAACTTTGAATTTTATTTATTTATATAATAATTATAAAAATATATTACAAAAATTTTTTTCTTATCAATTATCAATATTATTTATTTTTACTTTTTATATTCTTTTTTATTACAAAATATATTCTATTCTTCTTAAGTAGAACAATAACTCTAGGATTTTTATCTTAATAACTTATCAAATAATATTATTTTATACATATAAATTCATTTATTTTTTCTAATATATTACAAGAAAAATTATCCAAGAAATTATCATATTTACTATAATAAAAAATGTAAGTTTAATAAAAAACAAAAATCAATCTCACTAGCAAAGCAAAATGAACTTATACTAATTATATTATTGTTAATAAATAATATATCAATTATTCTATACATTATATATTATATATTAGTTTTAATTCAAATAGAATATATATTATTTCTTACTAGTCTTATTGAACTGTTCTTTTATATCAAATTGTTTTTATATCTTTGTTCTGCAATAATTGATTAATTATTTCAAGTTATATTATATGGATATACTTTAGTATATTATATGTTCAAAAGAGCACAATCACTATTGCTGATAATTTATTACTTTGTTCAGTGATTTGTTTAATCTGCAAAAAGCAAGTGATCAAGTACAGTTTTGTTTTTCCTATAGAATTATTCGATTTGCATCTTATTATATCTTATATTAGTTTACATTAAAAATATTTTATTTTATTATATTAACACTGGATTCAACATGCAATATGAAAATTATGTACACGTGATAAAATTCATTATATTAAAAAAAATGGAGGAGTGTTTTACTTTGTTTATCAAATCGCATAGCATTAGAAAGGGAATATCAAAATTTGTAAAGAAATTTCAACCAAAGTTTTTTTTATCAAAATGTTAATTTGAGAGGCCAGGCTAATAAATAGTATAGAGTTGTCCAATATTCCACCTAATTTTCTTTAGTGGATAAAAAATAATTAAAATAGGAGAACATAGTGTGAAGTTTTATTGAAATGATGAAGCAAAAAATAAACATTTATGGATTACTTTCGATCGCTGGTTGGATATAAAAAAACCAGTTGTTAAGAGAAATGTGCACCATTGTATTCAGTCAAAATGGATAGATATCCTCTCTACTTCTATCCTTCACGATTCCAACAACTGACAGAAGAATCGCAGAAAAACAATCTGATTGGAATCACTATCCCCGTCTCATATTTCTGTCATTTCGACCATCTAGTATATATGTACACATTAGCAGCCATTATTTCATTGTTATTATAATTATTATTCATTTTCATATACTTGTAATTAAGTAATAGAAGCAACAATAATAATATTGTTGTGGAAAAAAAAATTTTCAAGTATTTTAAAAACACCATTTTTATATCTTGAACAACCTTTCTTATCCAAGAGAGTAAATCAAGAAGCTGTTTTTTTCTACTCATCTTTTTTTACAAAAAAAATAATTTGCCTTTGTATTATTGTTTCTTTACACAGCACACTCCGGCACTGGAATAGAGAGAGCAAGATACACGCTTCTAGACTTCCCTCGAGACAAATAGCCTATAATGTCGAATCCATACTCAGAAACCACAATGCTGATCCTCCTCCTCCTTGACGTCCTAACGTGAATGTTTTGTTTACGTGAGAGACTCCAGAAATAAGATCTTGAAAGGCAGAAACAATACCTCCTCTCACAATTCCTAAACCATAACCTCATCTCTGATATCAGCTCCGGCATTATCTTCAAGAGATCCGGACTGCATTCCCTATTGGAATGATCGAGTCGCGGACTGGTCAAGAAGATTGTGGTTGCCCACAGAGACAGGCTCTGTAGATTCGCCTTCGACCTCATCAAGTTCATCTTCCACCTTAATAGCTGTGGTTCTCTCAAATGACAATCCAATGGATGGATGGGAACTATCTCAGGATTAACACCGTTTTCATCTGCCGACTATATGAAAAGCGATCTGCTAACAAATTATTTATTTGCACTTTCTTTCACCTAAACCAAATTAAATCACTTATTTTTCGATACAGATGAGAATGGAAACAAGATAAAAAGCAAAAAACGTAGGAAGAAAGTGCAAACAACACGACGAGTCAAGAGAGCAAAGAAAGCAAATTTGACACGATCACTGAAAGTACGAATATATCCCAATTCTTCTCAGAAGATCTTGCTTCGATAGTGGATAGGTTGTGCTAGATTGGTTTATAACATGGTAGTAAGCAATTACCGTCAGCATTATAGAACTACAAAGCAGTTTTTTTCAGAGTGCTTCTTCGGCTAAAAATTAGATACACAAAGGAATGGGCGTTTGTGGAAAAGGTGCCATATGAGGTGCTTGATCATGCTATTTCAGACCAGAGATAGTCATTGCAAGAAATCGAAAGAGAAAAAGTTAAAACCCTTATAACATACTTCATTTTGCCTCTAAAAAGATGACCGCCAAACTATTACTATTCGTGACCAGTACTGCCGTGAACCACTTCGTTTTCACCTAAGGCTATTACATAATAAGATTCTTCTTGCTAGCGATCCAGATCATCCACGCCACAAAGGTTTAACAAAGCCACCATTTCATCACGAACTTCGAAGATACAATCATTGATGGCCGAATAATACTGGAAAAGTTACAATAGATTCGAAATTAATATACGAGAGAAAATTAGGATATTGGATATTTGTATGGGTGTATTGAAAGTCTATCCGTGAGAATCAAGCGAAAGAAATCCATGTTGCCGCCATTGATCCTGGTGTCCGAACCTTTTCTCGCATGGTATTCACCCACAGTCAGGTATGGCGGTTTCGGCGACAAGTATATTAACCATATTATACGCCTTTGCCTTTCTCTGGATGCACTTATTTCACGCACCACTAGAGCACCAGCAAAGAAGCGTAACTCTATAAAAAGAGCCCAAGCTCGCTTAGTGGATGAAGTACACAAAAAAACTGCATTGTGGTTGGCTCGTACTTTTGATATAATAGTATTGCCGACATTTCATAGCACACAAATGTCACAACGTCGACATGGAAGAAAACATGTTATTGTCGATACATTAAGAGGAATTTGGGTGGAAATAAAGTGTTTAGGTGCGACGCATGTGGGATTCGGATTAATAGGGACTTAAATGGCGTCCGGGGAATTTTTCTCCGGGATTGTTTGATGGAGCCTTAGTTATGTAATATAATTATGCTAATTTGTTGCTTATAGTTGACTATGTGTTGCTTGTTGCTATCACTATTGCTATAACGATAATTGATCGATTTAATCCATCCGTGCAACTCATCGTCATGGTCCAATATTTTAAGATGGTTGTGATTTAGTTCTGTATGGTTCCGATTTTCATCATACTACGTAACATAGTTTCTGTAATAAAATCTTCCATGACCATGGTCTGTTGAGTTCCGATGGAAGAAAGTATTTCAAGTGGCGTCAAAATAAATTTTCATAATGATAAAATTCATTGAAAAATGGTTCTTTAAAATAGGACTCTATTCTTTATTGTTTACTTAATTACTAGATTCTATAACTAATGACTGGATTTGATTCTTTAAATTAAAAGCTATGTGAATCTGGTCTGATTTTTGTTACCGGGTTAAGAATAATTTCAATTTTGGTAAATCCGCCTAACCCGATTTCATTGGTTTAATTTCGTTTTGAAATTCTATTTTTATTTCGCTTTTGTTTTCTATTCTAAATTCGCTTTTGATTTTGATCTCACTTTTATTTTCGCTTTTGATCTTGCTCTTGTTTCCTATTTCTTTTTCAATCTTAAATTCTCTCTTAAACAATAAAGTGCATTATGCAACAAGTTCCGAAACAATGTAACCAAAAAAAGATGTATATATAGACCTCGCAGATGTTAATAAAGAGACAGAATTAAATTGCGTACAATTCTTCTCCAAGTAAATTAGACTTGTAAATTGTTGTAATTGATTGTGGTTAGGTCCTTTAGGCGTTGATATTGTTAACGGCATATTGATTGATTGAAAAAGCATTTTGTGATTGAACAGTTTAAGGCTTTTAGCTAGAAAAAGCGACGATTGGAAGTTAATAGGAAGAGTATTATGATAACCGTCACATAAAAACATAAAAACATAAAACCCAAACTACCTTACCTAAAAACTGACCCATCCAAATTTCCCTCTCTACCGTCATACTGAACGATATCGGCACAGGAATTAGAAACAAACGCAGTCTAATCACTTCCCAACTCATTATTACAGGTCGATCACGCATAATCACGATCCACCCGTGACATTATTCAATGATCTTGACAATTTTAAAATTACGTAGTGTCACGGGTTGATCGTGGTTAGACGTAATCGACGATTTTACCTATAACAATGGGTTGGGGAGGGAGTAATTAGACTGAGTAATACTTGATCGTTTCTAATTCCCGTGTTGATATCTACAGATATCGTTTCAGTATAACGGTAGAGAGAGGGGTTTAGTTGGATCAGTTTGTAGGTAAGATGTTTTTGGTTTTAAGTTTTATGTAACTGGTTGTTGACAATGTTCTTATTAACTTCCAATCGTTGCTTTTTCTAGCTAAAAGCTTAAACTGTTTAACACAAAGCGCTTTTCAATCAATCAATATGCTGATTTAACAATATCAATGCCTTTTATGGATCAAAGGACCTAACCACAATCAATTACAACAATTTTTATAAGTCTAATTTACTTGGAGAAGAATTGTACGCAATTTTATATTAACGTCCACGAGGACTATGTATACATTTTTTGGTTACATTATTTCAGAACTCATTGCATAATACATTCTATTGTTTAAGAGAGAATTTAAAATAGAAAAAGAAATAGAAAATAAAAGCAAGATCTAAAGCGAAATTAAGATAGAAAACAAAAGCGAATTTAGGATAGAAATTAAAGGCGAATTTAAAATAGAAAACAAAAGCGAAATAAAAATAGAATTTCAAAAGCGAATTTAATTTAACGAAATCGGGCTAGACAGTTTTTACCAAAATCGAGAGATTGATGAATTTATTATTAACCCGGTAACACTAGTCCATCAAAAAGAGTCGAGCTTCTGCGAGATGACTAAATTTGCCGTGAAATTTCGTTAATCTCTGAAATCCATAGTTTGAATACATCATTTGGCGTCAACGTTAGATGTTCATTTATCTTCACGCGACATTTTTCAAATATTTGATGTGTATCTAATAGTGTCGATCTGGTGATGAAACGTGGTATTGCTGGCACAATTTGAATTTAATGATTTGTAATTTTTGTCAATATCTTTTTGGTGTCTTATTAAATAATTCTCCGAGTTGATAGTATTTCTGGAGTTACAGGTAACTATCATTCTTGTTTTGAACAATATCAGTACAGATATGTTGGATTTGATGTTTCCAGTCATTGTTCGGGTTGAATTGGTACACCAAGTCGAACTCTTTGTCAGGCAAATTTCTAATTTCAGTTATAATTTCATCGACGGGTAATGATTTGTTTGTCATACCAGTTAAATTGTTGTTTGTCAGTTGGTTGTTATCGACTTTGATTGTTTTTATTTGTTCATGCTCTCTGATTAGAATTTGGTTGGAAGTCATCATGATGGCTCCTTGGAATTGGTGCTCTTGAAGTAATTGGACCAGATGGAAGATGAAAGTTATGACTTCATTTTGCCAGTGGTGGTTTATTTGATCCATTTCTCTTTTCTCTTCTTTCTTCTTTCTTCTTTTTTTTATAAATGAATTTAGATTTTTATATTCATTAGTTTCATTGATCGTCATGCGTTTGATGTTTATTTGTTCATAATTCAGATGTTGAATTACTTCATTAGGACAATTATTTTATTATTATCTCTCTTATTATTAAAATTTTTTTTGAAAGAGAATGTTCTCATTTGTTTCTAGCATTTATTCAGGATGTTCTAATTATGTTCATTCATAATATTGTTTGAGCTAAGTCCCATTGAAAGTTTTCTTAGTAGTTGTTCATGTTGATTTCGCAATCTATAGATATTATTGTTATAAGACTCATGAATATAATATCACTCAGTATTCCATTGTGATTTGAACTTATCCCCATGCTTGACATGCTATACCATGTCGTAAATTAATACTTTTTTGCTAATTTCAAAGGAAATGACTTTATGAAGTCTCTGGTCATAATACAATTTTGATTTTCACTGGATTTCGTCAATATTTTACCGAGCATCTTGAATTTTGGTGAATAATTTATGTATCAGGGTAAAGATTCATTTTTCTATTTGGTCTTTGAAGCCAGTATTGTTTTCTTGATAAGTTTCATATTTCAATTTAATAAGTAGTCTAACTTTACATCCATAGATCAAGAAAAATAGTTTATGACATGTGATTAAATTTCTCAATGTTCAATAGGTGAAGAGCGCAACCAGAATATATATATCTCACTCATTCTCTAAGATAATGCAATATTTTTGCAAGACTGTACAAAGTATT